GCATGTTATGCAAAGAATATGGGGCTCAAGCATGCAGCCTAAAGTTCAAAGGCACAACAGGATACGGTAGAGCGAGAGGCTATGCAACAACTTGATTTTGTCTTTTGAAACACGCACTTACGCCGTGCCTAGCACGTTTTCTGTAAAATGCTATTCTAAGCATAAGCAGTGGCCTGAGCACTCTTCTGGCTGTATAATTATGCTGCAGCATACAAGGAGGCCTAGATTGCAATAATTAGAAAAAAAACCCAAACCACCCTGAAATAGAAAACCCAGCAGCCAGGAGCAAAGTTTGAATGTGAAAGAAAAGTGCAACAGTCATCACATGAAAGCTGTTACAGTTTGGCAAAGGCAGCGGCTAACGGGGGAGATGATGAGTGGCTCACTGTGCTGGGGGCCCGCTTGGCCCTAGAGCCAGGCCTTATTGCCGTCTGCAGTCACATCACCTGCTTAAGGGAGCAAAAGGCAAACACATAAGCGGTGGCAAAACCGGTGGCACAATGGCCATGAGGAACAGGTATCAGAGCTACATGTGAAACTGGAAAATGAAGTTCAAGAAGGGAGTACACAGCAACTCCAGCTGATACACCCAGATTTCCAGGAACTTTAAAGCAATTTTTAGCTAGACACCTGAACTGTTCAACCATATCATGTATTTGACTTTTGTCTTTTCCCAAGCTGAGAAGCCTGTAACTGAAGCGTGAGGTTGAATCACAGCCCAGCAGTACCGCAGCGACAGGCGATACCTTACACAGTGCAGACCACGAACACAGAAGTGCCAGCTCTCTGTTTCTGAGAGTATGTGTATGAATTTAAAATCCCCCTTCGAGGTCATTTCTAGTTGAGTTGGTATTTTTTTCCTGTTTCAATCGGCTGCTTATCACTTTATCAGTAGGTGGCAGTAATAGACGATCCTGCGCAATTTCTACTTGTAATAGGCATTTGGGCAAGAAAAAGACCCTATTTTAGGGTAAAGCTGCTGGGTTTGTTTTGTTCACAAGTGTGAGTGGCGTAAATGGAGTTGGCAACCTCAGGCATGCATCTTCCTCTAACAGACGGAAAAGTTGTTCCCCTACCAGTTCTGGTATTTATGGCTGTACTTCATTTAATAGTGCTATAAAGCTGAATTCAATTAGATGCAAATGTACAAGATTTATTCCAAACATCATTCTCCCTAGAGATTAAATATGCAGGTACCTGTAACTTATTCTGGTAATCTTGCCCACTATTTTTCACATATTTTAGCACTACTTAAGTCAGTCTAATGCCTTTAAGTATTATTAGTTTTCAGTACAAGAAACCTCTATTTCTTAGGAACCACTCCCCCAAGCTTTCTTTAGCGTCCTTGAAGAAACAAATCCAGATTCTGATGCAGGCCCAAAGGAGGGCCTTAACTATGGCATTTTCTAGGACAATTATGTATACAGATTTTTACCCCTAAACAATGAAGACAGGGAAAACGATATAATCATCTCCTCTCAAAGTACACCTTTTGTTACTCCTTTGATATCAGAAATCCAACTGGATAAATGACTGCTATATTCCAGGCTTTAATAAGCACCTTTACAGGCTGTTGTTCTTAAACTGTTCTTTCCTTCTGCTGGAGCTGATCCTATTGTAAGTCACTGCAAAAACGCTTTGTTATGATGTCCTTCCCAATCAGCCGCCAACACCTCCTGTATTTACCTTTGTGTCACAACAAAAGCTTGTGTTTATTTTAATCTATGGTGTGACCTAGCATAGCTTCATTTAGACTTCCTTCTATTTCCCCTTCCTCCCTTGACTGTAATTTTGTAGAGGCTAACTTAAAAATCTTGCCTCTTAGCACCAGCCAAGCACCCTGCTACTAATCTAATATATGGTGCAGAAAGCAAAGAAGGGGAATTTGGTATATAATAGAGAGGAGGGAAATAAGTTTTCAGTACTAAAATGACAACCTTTTAAATTTGAGGTAAACCATGGAGATTAATGTGAGGAATGCAGAACAGCCGGCCCCACAAGTGCTACTGATGATCAAATAGAATTCACCATTAATCCACCACTGGGAAGTCTCATTTCATCAGAGCAGCAAGCACTAGGATATGAAGAAAGAATTGCTAATGATATGTCAAAACCTCCTCAAATCCAACTTCTGTTTCGAAGTTCTCATTCTGTGAGATGACAGCACCAACTCACACTGCTAGCAGTGAGCATGCATTATTTTCTGGGCCTGCAATAAAAAGTGACAAGCTTAATGGCATATGAAATAAAACAGAGAGAAAAGCACAATGCTAGGAGGGTAACAGGCCTGGTCTTGTTCTCACTGAAGTTAGTGGAAATCAAATCAGGCAGTATGATGAAAATAAAAACTCATTGCTTTGGCCTAGAGGATACCTTACTGTAAGACAAAGCCATGCTTTGGAGGGCTTTTTTTTTTTTTTTAATCATGTCATATTTCATGATATAATATATATTTAGTTTTTGAAAAATGTCCAATAGTTTTCAGGTGGTTTTGTGTAGAGTTTGAGGCCAGATGTTTGAGCATGAAACTCAACTGTCAATAGCAGATTGTCTAAACTACCTCAGAGGTCAAAGCAGCAAGAAATATAATAATGACAAAGACATCTTGTAGTTTGGAGGAAAAGACATACTTTTAAATGTTGATTTGTGGGTCAAGCTGGCATAAAACCCCCCAGACAATGCCGTTCTCTCCTATCACCTGTTGTTTGGGAGAAGACACCGACCCCCACCTCGCTACAGTCTCCTTTCAGGCAGTTGTAGAGGGTGATAAGGTCTCCCCTCAGCCTCCTCTTCTCCAGGCTAAACAACCCCAGTTCCCTCAGCTGCTCCTCACAGGACTTGTGCTCCAGACCAGTTAAGTAATTTGCCAGTAGTATATGTCCATTCAAGGAACTGGTAAATAAGGCCCAATGACATTAGAGAAAGCTGTCCTGTTTCCTACTAAGGAGTTATGCTCATACAGTTTAACCTCTTCAGATACTGTAAACTGCAGTTTACAGTACTCCATGTGTTTTTTAAAACTAGAAGCATGAAACCATCTTAATAGATACAATTTTTTTTTTACCTGATTAAGTTATGAACCAATAAAAGAAACCACAAACATGGGAGCCAGCTTTAAAGACATAAGAGGGCCAACACCTTCACTACTTCAGGAAAAATTTTGGAGAAAACCCCTAAGTCCAAACCAATGACATTCACCTCTTCTGAAAAAATACTGGATTTCTGTAAATGCAGCTCTTACAACTAGCAATACTCAAAGCTACTGTGAAATGTTTCAGTCTCAGGACCTCAGATGCTAACACTAATTGGAAACAGAAAGCAAGCTGTTTGCAATACCGTAAATAAGCTGTGGCAATTTTGTTATTTTAGATGGGAATAGTAACGATGTGCCACAAATGCAAGTTGTTACAAAGCCTTTGAGAGGAAAGCTGCTTGTCCTATATTCCCCTCCCTTGCTGTTCCAGTTAAAACCATACATGTGGAAGGACAAATGAAAATGTTGCCATGGTGATCAGAGCAGTTACCAAATCACGTACAGTATAGGAAGGATTCCCTAAAGAGCCTTACGAAGCATTTTGTTCCTCCTTTTTAACAAATATTTTCAGAAAGCCATTTTTATGTCACTGTCAATAAAATAGCTAATCAATTAGCTAAAGCCCCAAAACAAAGCTGAACACACACTGTGCATTAAGAAATATACTCATTAAAAGTTAGGAATGTGAATCTTAAGCTGAAAACTTCAAAATAGGAACCAAGGACAGACCAAGACAAGACCCAGTCAAGCCATTTGCATGTTTTTCAGAACAGGTGCTTTGAAGCAGCTCTGTGCCTGCTAGACCATGGGTGTCTGCAGCTGCCAAATTAAAAACCAAACCCTTGAATGAAAGGCATCCCAAAAGCCTACCGGGTAGAAGGAATATGGTTTTGTTACCCTACTACAGGAAGCAAATTAACGGGGTGGTTCCGTGTTAGGCAGATGTGGTGAATGAGCTGGCCTGCAGCAGAACCACAGCTCAAAGCCACCCATCTCATGTGGCTACACCAGCTGCTGAATGCAGCTGGGTGCGGCACCTTATCCAAGCTGATCGGCAAAGAAAACAAAACTTCTACAACGCAGACATCTTGCCACACAAAACAGTACAACAAACATTCTAGAACAATATCTATTGACCATTGTTTTCCATCCCCACAGAGCCTTGCTCTCATGGGCAAAAGCATGTAGAGAGCTGCTTCGAAAATGTAATCCCTCTCCCTGCACTCACCAGGGCAGATTTACACCCTCAGCTGGGGCCCTAAGGAACACCCAATATATTACAGATCAGTTTACTTTCTAAAATAATTTAAATCATTATCATTCAAAATAAGACACCAGCAGCCATGTTCTTCTACGGTTTTATTGATGCAGTCCTGGTGTGTAACTATACATCTCCATTTTGCTTGTAGTTACAATGTTGCTGTACTAAGATTGTTTTTGTAGTCAGGTTTATTACAGTCTTCACAAAACATAATTTATAAACACCACTTACTGTGTAAGATTTCCATCCAAACATCGTAAATCACTGGCATTTTTTCCTAAATAGTGCTACTTGAGGAAAGGTCACACTACTCTCTTTAGATATAAATTTGTAAAGGCAAATGAATTAAATTCACCTTCCAAAGAAAATAAGAATGTTAAAAACAGCTTCAGACTCATTTAGGTCTCAGAAAAATCTATGACTGGCAAAGATATCTAGAGTTTGATGCTGCGCTCAATACCTTCATTAAGACCAAAGAATCTTTACGAGGAACTGAAATTAAACTTGTACATTGTCTTAAAGATAAGGACTACCTTGGATATTTTATGATTTTTTTTTTAATTTTTTACCAGAAAATGCACTACTTTCTAAAAATACTATAGTTATAGGCTAAGTATTGGTATCTGCAGAAAAAAATGCTAAAACTAAAAGCATGCAACGCTGATACCACATTGTAGCAGAAGACATTTTTAATTGAAAACTGACTCAAAGGATAGTACAAAAGAGTTTCTTCTCCCTAAAGGGATTTTCAGATGCAGGCACTGGAATAATAAGGGGATCTTCTCCAATGTGAGCATCACAATAGGCCAATAAATCTGCCGCAGCCTTGGATACCTAATAGAAGAGAAGAGAGAACTACTGTAATGCTTAATTCTGAACTAACCAGCACGGCATAAATATTCTTCATGTAACAGATGATAATGGAGGCTATCATAAAACAGGAGTAGATTGGGTTATCCTTTAAATTACCAGAGACCACAACTCAGAAGTTGCTCTTACTAGGCCTAGTAATCTGCCTATACATTTTATTTAACATAGTGACATGAGAGGCTATCAATTTATGTGATTCATGTTCAGCTGTTCCTCTCCATCAGAAGGAAGGTCAGCCACATATGCTCGTTAAAACATGTATATGCTAATGGCCCATAAGCATTAGGGATTCTCCTTGAAGCACGTGTTTCTGTAGAGGCTGCCTGCTTCAGCTCCTATTCCCAGACATTAGAGCAGCAAGGCCCTAAGGGCTTCCACAAATGCACTCTCTACCCTTGGCTCCTCTGGATGCAAAACAAACAAACAAACAGTTCTTTAGGCATATGGCCGTGGGATTAAAAAGAAAAAATAAATCAGAAGCAAAGCTTGATCATCATGTGTCATAGCTCTCATTTAAGCTAAATACTGCTCTTTTCAATGAAGTCAGACTAGTATCTTCTGCTTAGTAAGTTATTATAAGTAGTACTTTATTCATAGCATTAATTTAAACTTGAGCATTACCTGAATATTTCCTATCTTAATATTTTTATGCTTCTAAAACGAACAATTCTAAAGTCTCCAAATTCAGAACATTGCTTTATGCTTACTGAAAAGTCCTACAGAAATGTAACGGTGTGCTGGCATGCAAGGTATTTTGCACAAAATGGAACATGAACTATTAAACCATTTCAGCTGTAGCTGAAATGAGCTTCGTGCTGTAAGAATACTGGTGATATTAGGCCACTGTGATTTATTTATTTTTTTAAGAATTTAGAAAGTATATACGAAATATTTTTGTTCTGTTTACAGCTATCTGTATCTCTTTGCCTTGTTTAATTACTGTGTCTTCAATATTATGATAGAGTTGAGAAAATGAGACTGGAAGTCTTTACGAAAAAGCCTTTTCTCTGAGTACCACGACAGCTTCTCCCAGGTCAAACACTGGGGTCAGCATGTTTGCACAACTACAGTGAAGAAGAAAAACAAATCAGATTTCTGGTATTTTTCTAGCAGGTGTGTCATCACTGTTAGCTTTAGCTTCCCCATACACCGCTTGCTTTGGCATGAGTCCAGCCTGTAGCAGGCTTCAGATTAGACCAATGAAGTCATTGGTGTCAGGATTCGCATGAAATTTAAATTAACTTCTGGAAGAAAATAACTGATTTTTAATTTTTTAAATATCCACTAAAACATGCCTTTGTAGAATTGCTTAAACCCATGAAGTGCCTATGGTTGGCATCCTGGTATGGACTATCCTCCTAGTAGAGGAAGCAAGGCTGTCAAGGTTACTTAAAGTTAGTCTGCCTTCGAATTGGCCTGTAAGGCGGGCAGAGACACTGCTGGTCCAATGCAAAGCAGACGACCGAGCACTGAACTGAGCAAATCAGCAGAGATATTCAGAAGGACCCATACTTCTCAAAAGAGAAGCAGGTCAAACAAGAATGTGTGGAAAATGACAGACTTCAAAGTAAAAAGGGAGGATTGCAATTATCTTCAGACATACTTCAATTAGCTACTTGCTAAGCAATGGCAAAAGAATGAGGCTTAGGATGTGAGGGCACTGTCTAGAATAGAGAGGTAGAACTGTAATGAACAAACAGAAAACTCAGGAATCCTGTCATATTCCCAATTTTCATTAACATTTACTTGTGAATTTTTAAAAAGCAGATTCACCAGAGAGAGGCACAATGTAGATGGACTATGAAATTCCAATCAAGCCCAGGAAAGATCCAAAGACAGCAAACAAACTTTTCTTTGCTAATGACCTATGCTGTACTTCAGCAAAGTATAAACTAGCACAGAATGCACCCACTGAAGAGGCTGTTAGCCCGTTTCCCGTAATGTTAGGAGGAATGCACCACCACAGCATTTTGGAGGAGTATTTTCAAGTAATGACAATTACCAGTACATTCGTAATTATTTAACACATGGATTTTCACTTTTCTATTCTCCTTCAAGCTCAGCTGTGTGTCTCAAATTAAGGCAGTTCTATGCTGTAATTAATTTATTAGCTGGTCCTGAACTCTTGTGTTCAAACAGAGCAAGTCGAACTCAGAGCCACAGGTGCCCACAAAAAGCTCAATGACATTTTCAGTGCTATGTCATAATAAACATTACTGCCATAAAACCTAATGGAGAGCTAGTCTAATTCTCTGGGCCCCAGAGACAGGATTTATTAAAGATGCCCAGCACATTTTTTCTTCAATTATTAAGCTACTGAATAAATTATTTTATTCATGAAACCAACCACCTCTTTAAATAGACTGACCCTACAGGAGCAGAGAACCAACACTGGACTCCAACAGACCGACCTCATAGCTATCTTGTTTGTTCCATGTATGGGTAAGTGGCATCAGCCCGATTATACCACTTTCCATTCAGTGGAAGGGAAGTACAATTTCAACCATTACTCTTAGAAGCGATAAACCCAGTAACATAATTTTCTAACCGTTTCTCTACATATTACAGTGCTTTGACATCATATAACAATAAAAAGGATTTTCACTAACAAAAGCACAACATAAATTTTCAGGAAGCAGAGCAATCACTTTATTCAACGTCACAGTGTTTAATTTACAAATTAGTTTGCTTTTAGAGAAACCACAGTGTGTTTTAGTAGAAAACAAACCTGCAACAAGGGACTGAGGACCATGATCACATTTCAGCACATTATCACTAACTAAACTTCCCAGCCTGTACTAGGCTACGGATTTTCATCCTTTTAAAAAATAAAAGGTTTGGGGAGGAGGAAGCCTCCCCTTGGGATTACAGTGGTTATAATATAACTCAATTATGGCCCCTTCTTCACTTAAACTGGAGTAGCTCAGGCTGGTGCAGAGGAACAATGACCATTTACTACGGGGAGTTAAGTTAGCTGATCACATTCCAGGAGCACTGAAAACATTGGTTCCTGTGGCTGTGAGCCCTGTTGGCGAAGTCAGAACTGTGGCCAAAAAAAAAGAGCACGATACAATGTTGCCTCCAGCAAGCTTCCTGCTCCCTGTTATTATTCAGAACAAAAAGCAGCAGATCTCTGCACTGAGCGTCACATTAAGGCTACCACAGAACTGGCTGCTTTAGCATCTATCAGCATGCAGAGGTTGCCCAATGGTCAACCCCGTGATTTGTTGCTGTACAAAGTAACGCACTGATCATCCTATTTGTGACACAGAGGAAGTTAAATGAAGGCCATTCCATCATAGCTTTTATTCACCTTTAGGTTTATTTGTAGCTGAATGCTGCTGGACAGTTTCAGAATAGCTTTTATCAAGAATTAAAATAAATGCAGCATGCAACTTGAATATTCAAATGAAGTTAACACATTTATCATTTCAGCTCTCCTACGCAATACAGCTTGGTCTGCAGATTCAGAGTAATTTACACATATTGCAGAAGTGGCTAAAGAAAAAAAATCAGACTCCAGTTTTCCTGATGAATTCTAACAGAAAGTTAACATTTCTTTTTTTTTTTTTAATCTTTTAAAGCACATAGACAGAGGGGATGGAATATATATGTATTGCACCGATCTCACATTTTGAACAATTATTTTTATTCTGGAGAGTGAAAAATACATCTGGTTGTCAAATTACCAAAATGGAAAAAAACAACAAAACACTCAACTCTGATGCTTTAAAGAATTAGTGTCAGGAGGACCATGGAATTTTACCATTATATTTCAGAATAACAGAGGTGATAAAAACAGCTAAAGTTAGAATATAATCCTGTTAGCTGCACTAATAATTATAACCTTCAATGACAGGGCAAAATGCTGCAATTACTATGTCACCTGTCTTGTCATGGATTGTGACTAATTACCATCCTTGCTATGACACCCACTCTGCTTATCCTTTCCATCTAAAACAAAAAGATTCACACACATTTATTGGCAATCCCACTGCTTATCTCCCAACACTATGCAGAACCAGTTAGGAATATTTTCTACCTTCTTAAGAAAAAAGAAAACGGAACAATAACTGATACACCATGATTCTTACATGCCAGAGCACTCCTTCTCCCTTTTCTCCTTGCAAAGAGAAGATTAAATAGTGCTTTATTCGGGGGACAGCTGTGATAAAGCACCAATATTATCTTTGCTTTCCCAACTTTACTGCTAGCACCTTTGGAAGACATATTACTTTACTAGTCCTGAGGCCACTGTCCGTCTGATTTCATCTTACATTTCCTGGCTTGAAATCTGCCCCTCCTGCTTTCTACTGGCTTCTCCACTATAATTCTAGCCATTCCTTCTGTGGGGAAGTAAGGCAGGTTCAATTTACAATCCTTCTGGGATTCTTAAGGTTTACAAAAAAACACCACAGTAATACTCCTTCCAACTACTGATCAGTACCTTCATCCTCCCCTTTGAAGTTGTCTTGTTTCTTTCCCACCTCAACAGCAAGTAGCTTTTGTGGAACCTCAAAACACCGCATTGCTTGCTGCTCTGACTGGTTATAGGACTTGATTTTTAAATCAGCTGAAAAATCCAGAACACATCAGGGAATGGGCAACTATCAATATACTTCTAACTACAAGATTTTAATTAAGCAGACCTAACTCATGCTAGTTACAGATGCTACTATATGTGGAAAACAAAATGCCTTTGTAGTAAAGTGACCTAGAACTTCTCATTTCCCTAGTCAATAACGCAGGCACCTTGAAAATTTCCTTTCTAATGTTAACAATGTGGTCTTGTCTATTATGGGAATAACCACTTGGTTATAGCTACTTGCAAAACAGTGCTTAATTAAATTATTTGGAAAGCACTGATCTTTTGTTAGATGTCTAACTAATTTAAGCAGATGCAAAACACCAAAAAAAAAAAGGAAATAATTTCATTTCTTTACCTTTACGATTATGATCTGGGAACTCAGTATCTCCTGTTGAAAACACTGGAAAGTCTCTCTGTAAAACCTGGCTACACTGAAACACACACTTAGCTGTTTCCAAGATTAAAAGGCAAAGCAGACCTTGAGGGAACAAAAAGCCAACCCATCTCTTCTCACAATCCCTCATAATTGTTCAAAGAAAATCTAGAAATTAAGACATCAACCTTTTGCAAATCCTATTGTTAGAATAAAAATGTTCAGTATACTGAAACATATCAGATCCTCTGTGGTGCCCTTTTGGTCCCAAGCTGTTTTGAAAAGGTGAAATAATTGCACTTTCAAGCAATCTGGTTTTTAGGTCTGCCACAGTTGCTCTTAACTGTGTTCTTTTTAATTAAACTAACTGTAAAAATAGCCTATGTCTTTCTTACATATGTAATTAAGAACTTTATACATCTAACCAATGAAGCTATCTGCATAACTGTGTGTGGTATGTGACAGTTATCATTGATTCTATAAAAGCGAGTATAAGACAATCTACTAAGTATCAACAATTTCAAATTCCAATAAACTGGCCACATTTTCCCAACCCTTTCCTCTGCTGCTCGTGCACAACCACTCTTTCTTGTCAGTTCTGTTGTTCATGCAGCTGCAATATGACCTGAACTGGGGAACTAACACCACCAAATGCTGAAAAGGCAGGCCTTCCCTTACAGAAGGAGATTGAAGTACCTGTCCCTATGAACAGGCAGCTATTAGCTGATGAATTTGTCAACACACTATACAAGATAGAAACTATAGTTTTCCAAGTTCAATGGTCTTACAAGACATTACTAGAAATTGCAACAGAATGGAGCAACTGAAATTTATATTTTCATATTAGCAAGACTGACTACTCACATGAATTGTACTAATATTTCTGAATTATAAATACTATCTTACTAATTAGTGAGTTTATGATCTGATACTATTTTAAAATAGTAATTATATACTATTGCAGGATTTCAGCACACAGGATGGATGGACTAACAGACTGACTTAAGACCACCGGAAGAATTTAACATACAACATTTCTAAACTGTCTTACTGAGTTTGTAACCTCAGTTCGGGTTAGGGTCAGGGTTAGGTTTAGGGTTTGTAACTCTAGTTTGTAACCTTAGTTACAAACAGTTACAGTTTGTTACAACTCAGTTACAGTTGTTTGCAGAAAACCTGATTATTTAAATGCATTCCTTTTTCTAATTTTTCCATCTCTAAACTATTCTTACTTGTAGAGGCTGGATTTTGCATCCAAATAATTATTTGCTATTTTCAGAGGCAGAGAGAGAGCGCGCACTTGCAAAAGAGATGAGAGTGCTCGCAAAAGAGATGAGCATTGCTTTCTTAAAAATTTCTGCGACGTTATTAGTTTTTAAGTGCTTGATTTATTCACAAAATTTTAGCCTAGTGGAAGGCAGAATGACAGATAAGAATAATCCAACAGGTTTTTCTGGTTAAAAATATTGAGGACTTCTGTTTAACAGTGCCTTTAGTTAAAACTATTAATGCACATACATTTAGAGGCATGACAAAACTAAATCTTCACATACAACAGGCTATCAAGTGTGAAGAATCATTAATGAACATTGCAATCATGCGTATTTTTGGGGAAATGATGTCTGTGCTAAACCAAAACAAATAAAGCAATTCAGCCCGTCTCATTGTTATTTAAAAGTATTGCAATATCTTAAAGACTTATTCCAGTTCTTAAAGGACAGTTTACCCTATCACCGAGAAACCTGAGCTGCACTTATATTCAGCTACAGGCGTCAAAGAAGAGCACCTGACAACTGATTTTAAGTATGTCAAAAAATACCACTTTTGACAGATGTAAAAGGCAGATTAGAAACCCATCTTTGAAAATCACCTCGCTAGAGCTAAGCATTTAGTATGTAACTAATTCACAGCACTGAAATACTGTTTTATAGCTCAACACAAAATTTTGATTTCAGCTGATTGAGTCTTTCTGCAATAGTAAAGGGAGGCTGTACCACAAACTAGTGAGTGAATTCAAAATATCAACAGTAAGTCTAAGTTTACCTTCATCCTATCCATGTATGCTTCCATTTTTAATTGTTCCACAGCTTTCCTGGCTTGAGATATATTGGTTGTGCTGTTTGACACTAGTTCCTTCATTTTGTTTTTCCTAGAAGAGACAAAGTTGAGACAATTTAAAAGTACAGGTAGCAAATACAGCAATTAGTGAGAAGACAGTTATCTGAAATCTAACCAACCTTCGCCCACCACATTGACACTGCCAGGCTGTAGGTCACAAATGCAAACCAGACACCATTTATTTCTGTTCTCCTGTTTAATAGCAGCACCTTATTGCATTACATATTTGCATCCTCAACTGCCAGCATTCAGTCTGAATTCTGCAAACAAAATACAAATGCAGAGTACGTGGCCATTATTTCAGTGTAGAAATGGTCGCCCTGGTTCAGATTGCCAATGCAGAACAGCTTGTTCACAAACAGACCTTGCAGCCATTGCACAGTTTGGCTCCATACCCCAGTTACACCTAGTAGCATGAAAACAAGATCAGAAATGTGCACAACAGAAATGAATGCCACACTGCTCTCACCAAGCATCAGAAAGAGAGAAATTTTAAGGTAGAGAACAAGTCAAAATTCTGTTTATCAATTTAAGGAGTTAGAAATGAAGTAATATATTAAGAAGAAATAAAGCAGTGGTTTCCAACTTTTTACTTATACATCCCCAGTGAAGTCTAAAGATGACTACAAACCAGTATAGTATACTATACAGTATAGGAATGCATTATTTTTCAAGACATCTGCAGCTCTTGGGAAGGGACAGCTAATTAAGGTGTATCAGTGTTTGGTTTTCTTGCATTGCTACGTCCTTGGGAAGGGCTCGAGGATAAGTATGTCAACTCATTATCATGCAGTCCTCAGCATTATTACCAGATTATTCAAGACGACTACATTCAAAGTTGAATAAACTTACAACATATATGCCCTTGGTGGTCTGCATGTTAGGAGACCTCGCGATGACACCATTATGCAGCGCTGATCCAGCACAAGTAACAGTTACTATTTTGAAGTCACTGGAAGTTGGGCTAAGCCCATGTGGAAAGAAAGATAAATAAGGACACAGATGACCTAGACAGGTCCTGGACTAGTTATACTACCTAGGAAGACTGGATGCTGAGGTTTTGATCAGCCACAACACTCACCTATGGTCCTGTGTATATGGTATGCCACAAGTGCCACCTGAAGCAAGATCAGTCTAGCACTGAGTGTTAGAAACCAATACAAAGTTAGCCAATCTAAAGGACACAGGGTGTGAGAAGCAAATGGGACACAGGAGAAAACACACAAAAGGAGGCATTTTGTATTGCTGCCAAAAGAGATTTAGGCTTAGGTCTTTCAAAATGAATACCAGACAAAAAGTGAACACCTACAACTACACAAATTTCCCTTCTTGAACCTCAATAGCTTAGCTGATCCAGTCACTGGGGTATGAGATACAAACAGGAAATTAAGTAGGATGCAGTAAATGCTCTTGTAAAAACAATTGTATATGCAATATCTTAAGCATGTTAGAGTCAATAATTACACATTGTGTAATTAGAATTACACAATCCAGAGCACAAAAAGAATGGAGGAATATCTTTTAAACTGCTTTGATTTCCCAAAACAGAGATATTCAAAGACAAGGCAAAGATAGCTGTTTCTTCTCTTCTCTAAAATCAGTAACCTGGGCTGTAAAATGGGATGGTGGAATACAAATGCAATGGTGAACCATGCTAACACTGACTTGAAGAAACAAAACAATCTTTTTCAGCACTTGTGTAAGTCTGGGCAGGGGAAATGCTACCATAAAATATATTAATTGTGCCAAATAAAACAAGAGCTTTAATATACGCCAAGACAAAGAACAGGTTTTCTGTACACGTGTGTGTCATTTGAATGGAACACAAGTTTTCCCCTTGCCTGCACTCTGATGAACTAACATTGTGTCAGAACACAGTAGGTTTGGGGGTTTTTTTGTCTTGGTCTTTGTTTATAATGTTTTAACTCCTATTCCTCACAAGGCACAGGATTAAATACATGTGGAGGAACTGGCTTTGCATAAAACACCACAAGCAACTCACAGCCTCCAAACAATTTTCAGATGTTTCTTGACTTGCAGTGGACAAGCAGAAAGGATACGAGACATTCACAGAGTAGGAGGTTCTGAATTACAGCTCATCTCTGGACTTTTTGTTTGACTCAACCCCCCAGCTTTTAAGTCTCGACCTACCCATAAAGATAAGAATAAACTCATTTATCTGTGTTTACAAAATGATACCCCCACAAGTATGAATCATCTAAATTTTGTTATCATCTCCACAACTAGACTACTAATGACTACAGATCCAAAAAAGTCAAAGCTAAATGAAGTCACAGAGCCATTTCTTCATTTGCCACAGCCCAAGTCCAGAGGCAAATTAGAAATTTAATTTTGAATAATACATTTAAATTAACCTGAATTAAGCAACTGAAACTCCATGAACAGTCCAGAGAATTCCAGATCTACTAAGCTTTTCTGGCAATTCATTCACTCAAACCATAAAAGTTATAAACATTAGAGCTGGACAATTTGAACTGTCACTGGCTTATCGAAGTTGGTGAGAACATTGTTTCTAGTACTTCCAGCTACTCTTTAATTATCTACTGAATAAGAGATAGAGTTAAGACCATAATGGAATTTTGAAAAGGCTATTAGGAACAAAAATGCTTTAAAAAATCCAAACAATGTTTCTAAAACAATGCCACAAACATACCATGTCCTTACCTATATTCTGAAACAGCAAATGGGAAAAAAATTTAAAAAGAAAATACGTATTTTCTCTGATAAATTATTTCAAGATATCAGAAAAAAAAATAAGAGTCTTCACAAAAAGAACTTCAAAAAAAGAGAAAAGTCTGGCACCAGGTGTTTCAGTCAGTGGAGAAAATTTCCACTTATCCTGAGTAAGAGGTTTGTTTACTCTGAAGCACAAACATTTGTTCTGTTCCAAATCCTGTTCCTATCCTGGCCTTTCCATGCACTTAGGTATTTAACTACTGTATTTCTGGAAGTTCTTAGCATCCATTTAAGTATCTAATATGGTTTTTTTTCATACAGACAGTTCTGGTTCCAGAACTTTTTAAGTTTCACATTTCACTTACCAAGCTACATATACCTCTGCCTTCTCTCACTTTCTGCAAATACAGTACATGTTTGCGCATCAATTAATGTCCTATTACATAGGAAATGGTGTCAACAATGAGAATTGTACTCACTTTCAAACCAGGCTGCAATGAACTGGTCCGCTTTGCAGACAAAGCTTTGGCTGAGACCTGGTTCTGCTCTCCTTAGGACCTGTGATACTCCTTCATAACCTTAAGCTTAATATTCTTTAATGAAACAATATCGTTACTTAGAAACAAAGCTCTCGAGAGGAAAAGAAATTTTAATAATGGGAGAGCCTATTACACATCCTCTCCCTGAATGACCATCCCCTGGAATGTGAGGAAGCCTCCTCCTTCAAACACCCTCTTGTGGGATCTCTCTCAGTGTTTCCTTGGAAGCTGCAGCCTGAAAAATGGCTCCAACCCTCTCTCTAAGACAGCTTCCTATAAACAGCCAAGTATTCTCGAGGCCTTTAGACCCCTGGGATGGTGCAATAAGTTTTGTATTGTATCTAGGGGGCAGGCTACAGGGTCATAGAATCACAGAATGGCTTGGGTTGGAAGGGACCTTTAAAGGTCATCTAGTCCAACCCCCTTACAGTGAGCAGGGACATCTTCAATGAGATCAGGTTGCTCAGAGCCCCATCCAACCTGGCCTTGAATGTTTCCAGGGATGGGGGATCTGCCACCTCTCTGAGCAACCCATTCCAGGGTTTTACCACCCTCATTGTAAAAAATTTCTTCCTTATATCTAGTCTAAATCTACCTTCTTTTAGTTTAAAACCATTACCCCTCGTCCTATTGCAACCGACCCTGCTAAAAGTTTGTCCTCATCTTTCTTATAGGCCCCCTTTAAGCACTGAAAGGCCACGATAAGGTCTCCCTGTAGCCTTCTCTTCTCCACGCTGAACCACCCAAACTCTCTCAGCCTTTCCTCACAGAAGAGGTGTTCCATCCATTGATTATTTTTGTTGCCCTCCTCCAGACTCGCTCCAACAGGTCCACGTTTTTCCTGGGCCGAGGACTCCAGAGCTGGATGCAGTGCTCCAGGTGGGGTCTCACCAGAGCAGAGCGGAGGGGGAGAATCACCTCCCTCAACTTGCTGGTCATGCTTCTTTTGATGCTCAAAAGGAATAGCTTCTCCCCATCTTTCAAATTACCTAAAAAGCCTTGAACCAGAAATTACTCAGCTGGGTTCACTAATGTTCACTCCTGGTTGTTTTTCCAGCAGCCCCCTATTAAGTTAGACCAGTACACACGTACACAGGTCCTGATAATCACCGTAGCTACAGTAACTATGTTAGCGATCAGACTACGTGCAGTCTACACATTACTGATGCATGCCAGTGGACCTAGATTACATATAAGCTTATTTATCCACTATATTTTTATGCAGTGCACTGAGGTCATTAATCTAGTCCTTGTAACTCTTTTCTTTAAGGGGAACAGTGATTGCATCAATGAAGAACAGTGACAGCAGCTTCACAGCCTCTTTCAGCCAAGTAGTTTCTCCTGACTGGCATACCATGCTAGCCAGCCGTTTCCTAAAGCATTGCTACTGGAAGCTGTGTAGTGACAGCCTCCTCGCCAGCTGAATTCTCTAGGGTTTGGGTTTTTTTTTTTCCTCATGTAAACATCATCCTTCTTCTGGGTGCAGTTAACTCATTTGTGCCAAAGATCTTAGTCTCCAGAGCTCCTAAAAATGCTCGTGAAGAGCAACTTTTCTTTATTTGCTTTTAGAATAGATTAGATTGTACCTGACAGTACTTCAAAGGCCAACTTATCTTACGATAACCCAGGAAGCTGCATAAATATTTGCAGGTACAGCTTGACCTTACACAGGGGTAAGGAGCGCAGCCTACATTTACTGAACATTATAAATACTTGTAAAATGCAGAAAAAGTCTGAAAATTTGAGTAACACAGAAGCAAAATGCAATTTTCAAGCTCTTCCATGCAGACTTCT